CATCTCGGTCTAAAAGCGCTAAGGTAGAAAGCCTTCCGGAGTGTAGACGTGAATTTCCTGTCACTTATCCCAGCATCATAAACCAACGGAGCAAGGTTGTGTGATTATGCCGTTCGTTCTAGATGGTATTAATAGGCAATCGGGCCTAAAGGTCTGTAAGGGTCTGCCATGCCAGGATCAGCAAACCATGACCTTCGAAGCCTGGTATGCGCTGGCAGTTCTCTGATGCCTGGTTTCCCGTCGGTGGATGCGCTTGCGCTCCCGTTAGCTATACAGGTCGTGGGCATGGCTGCCTAGTCATCCTCCGCTTTCTGGCCCGCCGTAATGCTGCTTTTTGGTTAAAATCCGGGTCAATTTTGTGGGCCAGAGGGTTTGGAGTGGAGTGCCAAGCTGCGGGTTCGGCCGCGCCATTCATCTGCGGCCTTCTAGGCTCTGTCTTGACACTGGGCTCTGGTGGGGAGGAGGAGAGAGCGCAAGTCTACACTCACTATAACCTAAACCAGGCACAAGTCACCTTGCCTACTTCACCTTGCTGTGTAACACACGGGGCATTGTCGGATGCGACAATCGAACCGCCAATAGGCGATCACAAATCTTATATTCACCAAAAATCGTTTGATCGACCTGACCAAAGACACTCCCACAGCTAAAGAGCTGGAAAGGTGGTGGCTAATGTGGACTGGTCGTGGAACTGATTTGTACACAGTGTAGATGGGGACTTCCCGACAGAGTGCATGAGGTGGGTGGAAGACAAGTATCACCGATTTGGATATCAATCTAAGTACAGAGGAAACAGCCGGCGTTCAGTCGGGGTTTCTCGAAGATTTGTCTTTTCAGGAAAGATTTGTAAATTAGCTTACAAATGTTCAATGCAGTCTTTGGTCTTCTTATAGTCGCCCATCTCTTGAAAAGTCTGGCACGTATTACACGCGTTTCACCAGACAGTGTGTGTACTTGACCACCGGTGGTAGTGAGCCAGCAATAAGTGTCATCAGCGCTCAGAAGGGGCTTGTAAGTTGCGTCCTTCAAGTGGTTATGGTTCAAGTGCTGCGAACTTGCGGACCGACATGCAGGACTAGTTGGAGGTTGTAGTACATAAAATTTCGCGCCAAAAGCGAGGTTTCGACAACACTATCATCAAAAACGGTGGTAGTAACAGAAGAACCGTGGCAACAAGTCGTGTCTGTGCAATGAGCGCCATAGTACATGAAAGGTCGAACGGAATCAGTGAGCCCACCTCAAGATGGACGAGCACCTGTGGGAGACATGTGACTTTCCAGTTGCCCAAATTAGCTAAATGTGTCATTTGATTTCGGCGGAGAACTATATCAGGTGCAGAAAAGGGTGAGATTTTGACAAACCCACCGGTAGGAAAGTGTTCCGCCTGGACGACACACACACAGTTATGGCTTCTGCGGGAACAGAAAGGACGACCCAGCAGGCTGGGACTCTGGAGTTGGGTATCAGTTGCTATTGTATGCTTTTAAGGCAATCCGATCGAGCGAACAATTATGCCCCAGGAGGAAATCACCGCACATCACAAGGAGGAGCTAAAACGCTATTCGCTTTCGGCAATAAGAGATAATGGCTGTTGTTTCTCCAAGCAGAGTTTTTAATTCACGGCACTAAAAGGATAAAACATTGGTTTCTGACTTGACATTTTAAATCCGTGCATTGGACTGCTTTCAATGCCAACACGCGCTGCATGCACATCTTTGCCCCGCATGATAATAAGGTATGAAGTGTGAATCGTAATCAAACATCTAGGGCAGGATAAACAGGTGTGTAATCATGCTCTTTGACCAATGCCGCTAGGAACCTCGAAGTTGTCATGATCACCTAACAGAAATAAAAGGAGCATGTTGTGTGAATTATGCGAGATGGGTCGAAAGGCTCCCATTGAAGATTTTTAATCCGCCTATACGTAGAATGCCTTTTGACCGCCGCTACCGACGGCATATGTAGCGACCCTTGGCCGGGTGCCTGCTTCTGGGCCAATCAACGTCAAGTTCGACTCAAACATGTTCACGCTGAGTGCGCTGTTGTAACACCCTACGGAATGGACTGACATTACCCTGTAATGCAGTTTCCACCTTCATTCAGGGCGCCCGCTTTTTCGCCTACCATCTTGTTCCACCCCATACTCCATTCGTTCTGTACCGTGTAAAATGCCCTCCCAACTGGCGTCTAAATTCTCCTTTTTCTATTCAGGACGGCGTACGAAGGTCGTGGTGGACTGACTCTGCCTCAAGCTACCGCGACGTGTTCACCATGTGCCGAGCAGAAAAGTGATCGCGAGGACAGTTACTTGCTCGTGAATTCTTTTATAGTGGTGGTACTGCACTCTGTCCTCCTATTCTCCCACCTGGTCCCGCTGTCATGACAATTCAGAAGACGGGGTGGGAGAGGGCGCATGTGGCTGTTTCGACTCGGTGTATTACCACACCACTGGTTAGCTTACAATGAATCAAGATTCCACACAATAAGAAAAAGGTGGGACGGGCCGGATTCCAACTGAGTGGAAGTTCCATTAGGGTCACATTAAGAAGGAGCCATTGCAGTCTTTCACTCAATTCACTAGTCAGCCAATCTACACAAACACGCATTCAGCTGACTGCAACGTCTGGATTTAATCGTCAGTTGGCAACCTTCCAGTTATGGTTTTTAGCTCACCGTGGTGATCTTAAGCGCGTCAAATTGCTTATAGTGAAGAATTATGTGCTGAGGATCGGCCTTACCTCCTCTATCCTATCTCGTGCAGCAGTTAACTGTCCGAGCCGGTCAACCGACTAACGCTGAGATTTGACTGGCATGTTGGTGCTCCATACACTGGTTCATCTGCCTGCGATGGATCCGCAAATGACCGACTATGCCGGTGCGTTTTAAGCATGTGCGATGATGATGTGGCAAGGATAGGTTTGTGGAGATGTAGAGTCTGTTGTGGTGTTAATGCTGCTAGTGGTGGCCGGGGTGAAGGGGTGTCCGGTTGCAGGTCTGTTCCGGAAGCCAGAATGTCTTGTATTCACCTTCCTGTTCACCATTCTGGAACTTACTGTTTATTTATCTGAATGGAAGCAACTCGGCTAAACGCGACGCGCGTGGCATAAGTTGGACTTTTTAATTCTTTCAAATCCCTAGTCTTATCCTAATATCCATAGTCTGGGCTTGACAATCGTGTCCTTCGCGTTCACAACAGTGGTGACCCTTTCAAAGTGCACGTTTAGACCTTTAATCTGTTGACTTAGATTTGCTGCTTGTATGTTCCGTTTTCTTTGACTCTGTCTACCAGCATAGCCTCTACGGATTCTAAAGACGTCGCTACTTCTCTCAGTGGAGTTGTTTTGTCCCTCCCAGACTTCTGGCAACATACGCCAGAACTTTATTTCTTCCGTATTGAGGCAACGTTTCACTCTGCAAAGGTATCACGAGAAACCGATAAGTATTATAATTCGCTCGAGGCTCTTCCTATCACCATCCTTCCTAAGAGCAGATATTTTTGCGTGATCTCCCCAGACTGATGCCCCCTGTACGAAGCTAAAGGCTGAAGTTCTTTACCTGGCCCCATTCTCAGATCGCCAGCGCTATGACGCACTCGTAGAAGAAGAAGCTTTAGATGATCGCAAGCCGTCGGAACTCCTGCGTCGCATGCGTTTTTTGTGGGGTAAATGACCATTGACAATAAGTCCTTCAAAGAGATGTTATTAGAACGTCTGCCGACAACCCTGGCCTCCGGCTCAGATGATTTAGACATCTCAAAACTAGCGGAGATGGCCGATCGTATGATGGAGGCTGGGCGTTTGTCATCTATGACGGTAGCTCAGCTTTCCCAGCCTCTCACTGCGTCCACCTCTGACCCGGCCGAGCGCAAAACACAGATTGCCCAATTGTCGGAGACTGTTGTCGCGTTGCAGCTGCGCCGATCTGCCGGTCCATCTCGATGCGCGTTTAGCCGTGACCGTCGTCGTTCCCGCTCACGCCCTAGGATCGCAAACCTATGTTTGTATCATGTGAACTTTGGCCATAAGGCGCGCCACCGTGTCCCGCCTTGCTCCTTCAAGTCCTCGCGGCAGTCACGCTGGTCATTTGGGAATTGACAGTGCTGGAGTTGGGTGTGTGTGGTGTGTCGATATTGCGATGAATTCCGCTGTCGTGGATATACATGCGACCGAACACGCGCATGCGGTGTTTGAATATGCAAGGACAGTGCGGGCAATGAAGGGGTGCATGCAGGTAGCCTTCCTCCCCCCTCCCCCTTAAAGGATAGGACAAGGTGTTGGTGAGGTGGAGTTGGTGTCCTGTGCAGGCTCGCAGAACGGGGAGGTCGTTGCTGCAGCCACCGAGACCATGGGGACCCAACACGTCCTCCCAAGTAGCGTGCTATATCCCGAAGTTTGCGTTCAGGTAATTAAAAAATGATCCGCTTGTTAGCCTTCGGCGCAGTCGTCAGGATGGCATGCAGGTCTTTGTAGAATTTTTCCTTTGTCTCGTCGGACCAGGTCATTGGGAAGGGGATTGACGTAGGCGCTGACAATATGGACGAATTTGGTTCCACGAAGAGGCGGACTCAGGTCATGAGGCGGTCGTTCATGCTTTGCACCAGACAAGGCAGTCGTCCCACGATGACTTTTCGGATGGCAAAGACTACTCCAGCGTGTCGTCGCTCGGCTTTTGGGCGGCCGCCTCAGAAGAAGGTGTGGCCGACACCCATCTCTTCCATCTGGCTTTTTTTGGAGAAGCGTGTTTCACTGAGGACACCGACGTCCACTTTGGGGCGCGCCAGTCCTCAATTGATTAGTGCCGCCCTCCTTTCCGGTCGGCATTTGCGCGTATTTTTGAAGTGGGAAAGAATATTCCAGACCGTCAGATTGAGCTGACTCACTAGCAGCCCGTGGGCTTGAACGAGGCATGTGGGTGGCAAGATAATGGATCAGTTGTTTGGAGATCCTCCTGTGTAACACTTTCCTGTGCGAATAGTTGAAGATGTTGCCATTTGGCCTTTGTATGCTAGTAAATGTTCCAATGCTTGGTTAACAATCTTTGACATTCACTTCTCATAGGCGGGTCACTATTGATGTGGACGACATTATTCGGCAGATGGACACTCTCAGATGGCGTTACAGGACATAGTCACCCCGTTGTGCTTTGATGATCTATCTAGAACTTCGTCCGTTATCCTAGAGCGTCAGTATTAAGGGCAGAATAACATTACCGACAGTGACAAGGGGAGTTGGGTGGCTATTTGCGGATTATTAGCCGTCACCAGTCAGAAATGGTCTTTCCAATCTCCCTTGTCTTTGTCAGTAGAGTCATTCTGCGTATACTACAAACCACTGTGCGGCTGCCCACAGGGCTCTGTGCCAGCCCCAAACCACTACTGGACGAGTTAGTTCCGTAACGCGATCGATGTGAGCCCTCTACCATAGTTAATTACCCGATCGCAACCGACAGGACAATAATCCCCTTACTCGGTTGTTAGTTATTTGTACTTTTAATCAACAGAAGGTGGGGCTGCACACCTGGGGTTTGTTATGACTGGCTGATGACGGCTAAAAAGCCAACAATGGTGATTCTGTCGTCTTGTCTTTGTCAGTTATGTCATCTAACATACTGTTAAAACAGTTTGCGACATTAGGGTAATGTGAGTGTAGTTAACTCCTATTCCTGCAGAAGTGCCCCCCCCCGCTTTTGACTTCCTGGACTAGCGTATTTCGTGGCTGAAGTCTAAAAACCGCAGCCGTGCTAGCCATTTAGTAAACTCCCCGTTAAATAAGCACCGCTAGCTTCCGTACAGAATAAACAAAGACAGATTTTGCAGTTAATCTTCGATAAAAGCCCTCGAAATTTACGGGTCAGTCTCGAGGGTCTGCGCCGCGGTGTCAGACTAACTGACCACTAACATTCTCGTCCCTCTTCCCTGACTGTTCTGGTTGTTTCATCATAGTGGTCACACCTCTGCGGATCAATCGTCGCATCACTTGCGTACTTCACTATCAGGTCGGTGGATGTCTTGACCAATTACCCAAAGCTTTTTTGTATTAAAAATAGAGCTCCACTCTCCGGGTCTGATCACTCAGTGCTACTAGGACTTCCAAAAGTCTATTCCACCTCTAAGCGTCAACTGCTTACAAAACCCGAGAGGTAAATTACTGTTCGAGACACATCCGTAGATAAGATCCACTTACTGCAGAGTTCAATTACTAGTACCATCCCAACTTTTCCAGCACAACCAAATGCTGAATTATGCTCTAATTATCTTACGCTATTTTTGAATCACATTTTTGATATTTGTTGTCCCCGTGAAACTGTTATGGTCAGGCCAGACAGAATCTCCTCACCATACCTCAAGCACTTGAGACGTCGCAAAGAAGCCTTCTACAAACTAGTTCAGCGTGACAAGGTGAAGGATATCAATGTTTTAATAAAGAACGAAATTGCCAGACTTAACGGTTTATTCGTTAGTCAACTTTTTTCTACTTCATTCACCCCCTCCTCTCCTTTTCCTTCTGTTGAACTGTGGAGGAATATCAAGCGTCTCACTGGTCAACGTAATATACTTGAACCCATTGACGTAGATTTAAACTCTTTAAATCGAAATTTTATCTGTACTTCTAACGACTCCACTTCTCGCCCAAACGAAATTTACCTACCACCATGTGACTTTACTCCTGTGACTGTGACAACAGTGGAACACCATCTCAAAAAGATTCGCGGGTCAACGGCGGCTGGACCGGACGGTGTCTCTCCCTTTCTCCTTAAGTCTTGCTGTTCGCAGATAGCTCCCGTCTTGACCCACCTTATTAATCTATCCTTCATAGAGTCCAAGATTCCTGACGCCTGGCGTACAGTAAGAATTACTCCAATCCCTAAAAAATCTTTAACTTTTGCTCCTAAATCTTTCCGTCCTATTGCCTGCTCTTCTGCACTCCTGAAACTTACTGAACGAGTTGCATTAGATTCCCTAAAGTACTCCTCCGTCAATTTTTCTGATCCTCTACAATTTGCATACAAGGCAAAGCGTAGCACCTTGGATGCTGTTGCTTTAGTTGTTCATTCAGCTTTGAGAGACTTAGACAAGGGATGCCGTGCATATGCATGTGCTTTTCTCGACTACTCATCCGCCTTCAACACTATTCCGCGCCAACTCCTCCTGACCAAAGCAGCTGCGTGCGACACTCCGAGCTGGGTTGTCTCTTGGCTTAGAGATTATTTTTCCTCCCGCACTCAGTTTGTCCAGTCGGGAAGGAGAAAATCTTCTATCCTTCCAAACAATTGTGGAGTTCTTATCCCCTCATCTTTTCTCCCTACATACTGATGATTTGAAATCGCCAAACGACTGCCTGTATGTTAAGTATGCCGATGACATGGTCGTAGGCCACCCACTCAAAAACCTGACTCACCTACAGTCTTTAAAGGATGGCTTAGACCACGTCTCCGCATGGTCTTCGAATAATGGACTCCTACTCAACAATCAGAAATCAGTACAGTGTGTGTTTCGATTGCGACCCTCTCCCATTCCTGAACCTTTGGATATTCTTCCAATGAGGTATCTTCTTTCCGGTACCTAGGTGTTACTTTATCCTCAAATCTCTCTTTCTCTCTTCATATGGAAACCCTTTTAACAAACATTCAAAAACTTGTTTATTATATTCGTCGTCTACGTTCATATCACACACCCCAGTCCTTAATCTGGCGATTCATAGATGGCTGTATTCTTCCACTCATTCTTTATTGTTCTCCAGTTATTTTTCCAGCTTTACTTAAAAAAGATCTAATTATTTTTAAACGTGTCATTCGAATGCTCGCCTCTGCTGCTGGTGTTTCCTATCATCTTTTAGTTGATATCATCGTGCAGCGACACTTCAACTCGGTGTAGCGGTTCGCTGACCGAATTCTGAATGACACCGTCCATCCCCTTCATAATGAGTTAATGGCTGCGAAATCCTTACGCCCCACGCGTCGATGCTTCCGCCACATCCCTTGCCGCACTTCGGCCTATCGGAATTCCATACTGCCATTTCTAGCCCGGTATCTCACCTGCAAAGATGTTGAAAAACATAAACTAAAACTCGATCTTGCACCTTAAAGTCCTTTTTTCTTAATATATAATCATCTCCACCTGTCTGTCCAAAAACCTGTTAATCTCTATGGTAATCACTGTGTACTGGAGAACCGTTTTTGCTGAAAGTTTTGAAAGTTATTTTCAAAATAAAGCAGTCCTCTCTCTCTCTCTAAAAAAAAGTCTACTTTATTCACCTAGTGGGTTTTCTTTTTGTCACTCTTATTTAGGACTCGTAAAATATAGGCTGATAGTTCGTGAGAACAGCGTTATTAACACCAGGTCAGCTACAGCAACTCTGAGGCAATGGCTGAAATTGTGAGGCAGATCCACCGACCAAAGTAGGATTTAGAATTTACCACATGAAATCAAGGCATTTGTTAACCCCCCGACTGACGCGGGTTAAAAGGTCGGCGTGACAGAACAGGGTGACACCAGAACCTATGGAGTTACCTAGAGGGGGTATATTCACTCTGACGGGCTGATGGACGGAGTGCTTCATTGACCCCGCCTACGGCTGAAATCGCCGCAGAGCGCAACGGCCACACCCCGTTAATATGCCGACGCTGGCGAGCGAAACCAGCTTATGGTGGGCTGGGAGCCACAGTGAGGTCGATGAATCTGTCAAAAGCCCGGTTTGGCTGTCAGAAAGGGACGCTTCGCGTTACGGTGTGCTTCGAGTTACGCTTTATCATATGACAGCCATGCCGCTCTAACTATTCAGTAACGGTCTCGGTATAGTCCTGTGGCTGGAACACAATGTGCGTAGAAAGAGGGAAACGTTTACGTCGCGCAAGTCTCTTTTACTATGATCTAGTAGGCTTTAAGTTTCCCCGGTCCCACGAGGTAGTGGTGATCGTCGCTTGGTCCGACAGAAAAATCTAGAATTATGGAACTCAAGAATGCCAGAGATAATCGAATTGTCGTTCCACTTGGATTGCCTCAGGGATGATGGTTTATTAGGTCAACTATCCTGATGCTTGTTGTTAGATAACAATAGTCTGTATGCGACCATTCCGTTCAGTTACGCACAATCCT